GCAGGTGGTAGGGGGAGGGGTGATAAACAAGCCACCAGGTCTGGAACTTGAACTGTGGTCGACCATGTGGGAGTCCAGTGCACTTAACCACCACCCACATCACCTGCTGGTCCCCAGCGCTTTGTTTTTAATGAAGCAAAAGATAGGTAATCCATCCTTAGTGCATTTTCTCCTTCTTTCCCTGCCTTATCCTCCCCCCCCCTCATTAAAAAATCTGGAATTTCACTCTCATAGAATGTCAGCTGTAAGCTTCTATATTCTAGGGATCCCACTGTAAATTGCATAAAGCCATCCCTTGATCTCCATGGTAGATTCAGTCCAGGACCCCCCAAGGAAAGCAATGTTCACTGACACTCAGATCCCTTATATAGAACGTGTATTTGCACACAGCCCACGCACATCCTCCTGTACATTAAGTCATCTCTAGACTACTTATAATATCTTATACAGCATAAGTGCCACGCAAATAGTTGTTGTACTGTTTTGTTTGAGGAATAATGATAAGAAAAAGGACTTCACATGTTAAAGACAGATGCAAATTTTTTCCCTAATAGTTTTTATCTGTGTAGGTTGAATTTGAGGACAGGAACCCAGCAATAATGAGGACCAACTGTATAGAATTCGAACTGTATGCTTTAGTTTTAAACTCTGTTCATTGTTTCTCTCCCCTCCCAATAGATAAGCTACTTCAGGCAGCCTCTGTGTGTGGTGTGTGTGTGTGTGTGTGTGTGTGTGTGTGTGTACCATTTAGAGCTGTGGCTTGAACATAACAAATATTAGTTGAATAAATGGGTGGACGTTTATCTGAATAATATCTGTTTCTTCCACTAGAACTGAACCTTTTTTAAGGGTAAGAACATTGCCATCTTTCTCAGTATTGTTTCCTTAGCGTCTGTGACAGTGTATGGGGCATGCTAGTTCCTAATAGATATTTTTAAATAAATGTGTAAATGAAGCCACAGGGGGAAAAAAAAGAAAGCATGGAGAGAATGTTGTTGATGGGAGAATAGTCATTGCAAACCAAGGAGATATCAGTGGAAGTTTCTAGAAAAGTCCAAGGACCAAAACAATTGGAAGAATCCACTCAAGATCATCACATTTGGAGCAGATGCTAGCGTGTCAGCAATGCCACTGGACTCATGTGAGAATCCTTGGGTTGTGTCTAGGTGCTTCCCTGACACACTGAACATGAGTGTGCCTGTGACTCAGGCTGCCTGAGGCAGGGATGGATTACAGTGGGAAGACCCTGTGAGGGGAGTCTTTCTCTCTCTCTTTCTCACGGAAGAAATAAGTAAGTTTTTTTTAAAGGAAGGTGACAGCTTTGATGATAGGATTTTCACAGGATCTTTGGTGTGTTATTACACAAACATTTCAGAATTGAATTTGAACAATCTTTCGAAAAGAGGAACAAGACATAGCTCCTTATGGCCCGGCCTCCTCAAATGCAGTAGCCTAGGGTGGCTATTCCAGGTGTCCCATCAGACAGGTAGGATATTCTCCATGTCCTAGGCATGCCTGGGTATTCCAGGAGCACACGAGTTCTCAGAGCATTATCTTGCCATCACTGCTCTGCTTCTGCTCAGTTGAGAGGCCCTTAGTGTGAATTAGTTATTTTGTTTCACTTTCCCTTTTCCACGCATTAAAGTCAATATTTTTTCTTTAAATTGAGAACCCATAGTTTTGGTGTTGTTAGAATATTGTAATAGCTATCAGTCAGAGCACCAGTAGAAAACAAAGTTACACTCAAACCAAGTTGACCCCAGGGAAGTTCCATAGCACAGGCTGTTTATAAGATGTGAGTGTGGTCTGGGGGCCTAGGAAGGCTAGTGCAATAGCTGGAACCAGTAGTCACCCTGTCCCTGACAGCTCCAGGACCCAGGGCGATAGTACAGATGGTGGCCCACGTGCCACAGATCAGAATACCTGAAGTCATAACTCAAACTAAAAGTAAAGTAAAATCTGCTCCATTCTCTGCCTAACAAATGGGGTACTTACGAAATGACCTTGAAGGCTAGGTCAACATATATTGGGTCATCAGAAAAGTCATGATGTATTATCTATGTTTTTCTATGCAAAAATGCGTCACAACTTTCCCAATGACCCACAGGATTACAGGCCATGGTACTGAAGGACAATGAGGGGTGAACAGGCAGTGCCCTTCCACCCCTTCATCCCTCCCCCAGTTCTGTGCACACAGCAAACACTTTTGTAAGTTCATGGACAGACATCCAAGCCTCATGTTTCTGGACTCTATGGTTCCAATAATAGCTGCCCTTTCTATTGTTGGTTCTGAGGGGTAGGCATACCAGAACCACAGATCTCTTCACCTTTCCACAAGAGAGAAGTTGGGATAAAAACCATGGAGACCCCGGGAACCAGTCAGAAGCCAGCGTGGGTCTATTTGGTCAGAGAATTCTAGATCCTGACTAAATAGTATATTCTGGAAGTAAGGGACTCATTAAGAGTTGCTCAGGGGTTTGTGTGCGGGGACCAGAGGGTTGTACTATGAGCAGCAACAGAGTGGTACAGAGGAGGGACAGCAGTCAGCTCTGCAGCTTCGTGCTAGGGTGGCCTTTCCAGAGACATAGTCATCCGCAGATAACCTTATAGGGAGGAAGCAAAGGCTATAACTTCTCCAATGCCAGAGCTCCCTGCTGGCACACCTGGCCAGAAACAGAGGACTTGCGAGCTCTGTGGTGGAGCTCCCCAGGCCAGAGAGCAGGCAGAGAAGTGAAAAGCAAAGACACCAGGCCCAGGAGGCATCCGTGAGCAGACAATTCCAGATCCCTGACCTCAACCACAACAAATGGCTGCAGTCCATCAGAAAGAAAGGTGGCAGTGCCCGTGGCCTTGACGACGATTTAATCCCAGGGAATGTCCCAAAGGAAGCCTGGAATCTGCTTACTCTTTGCCTTTAATGTTTTTCAAAAGTGAAAACCTTAAAGCTATCGGGAGAAGAGAAGGGGCACAGAGGACGTTAAGGATAGTTAAGGGATGTTCTTCTTGGTTAAGTCCTTGAGACAGTAGTTCTTAGGACATGGTGTAAAATTGCTTTGTTTTACGGCTCTTCCTTATTTGTTGGAACACGTTGCTAATTAACATGAGTAATCATCCATACCAGCTCATATTTATGGTGCACCTGTCTCATGCAAGGCACTGTGCCAGCTTCGGTGGGAACCTTCTGTGCCCAGGAGTTTGTAGTCTACACAGAGACACTTGATTTCTAGGCATAGCTGTCTGAGGTTTCTGTTTTCTGAGTCTTTCCCCCTTTACTCTCTGCAGTCACCTGCCTTCTTACTTCTTCTGGGCTGTCAGGAAAAAGTAAGAGAAAACAGGGGGCGGAGTGAAGAGAAACTCTTATGTCAGTGGGGCCAGCAGGAAGAGAATAGAAGGGGGATAACCAATCAAAGGGGGTGCCAGGTAGCTTGGGGTGTGGTAGCCAGTGAAGCAGAGTGAGCTCTGGAAGAGGAGAGGTAACAACAAGACTACGAAGTACTGAAAATAAGACATGTAGAGGGGTCGACAAAGGAAGACTGCATCCCTTGCTCATCCATTCATTCTCTGAGTGCCGGGACACTGAACACTCTTGCTCCAGTTCATTCAAAAAGCATTTACTACTGCTCACCTCCTTTTCCATGTGTTTAAGGTCTCTTCTGGGCACCTGTGTGTTCAGTGACTCCGCTGCTGCTTATTACTGGTCTCTTCATACAGTTATTTTTTGGGTTGCTGAAAACAATGTTAGCTTTCAGGACTAAGGTGGGGAGAAAGCAATACTCACCTTGGGTGCCAAAAATCTCAGTAACCAAGACAGATTCTATTTTAATGCATTTTTTTTACTTTTATCTTATTTTTTAAATGCTAAAAAAATGCTTAATTTATTCTAATTGAAATTAGGGTGGTGTATAACTATTACAACTCAAATAAAAGAGCCTTCCCTCGGTATCCCGGGCAATGCCTTCTGCAACACATCTGTATTGTCCTTGGAATGTAGAACAAATGTGAAAATCCTTTGGTTCCTGCCAATGTTATACAGACTTTAGGATGAATTGAAACAGGATATTTCATTCCATGGTTCTGAAAGTCCGAAGTCAAGGGCCCTGCCTGTTGGTGGGAGCTCTCTGAAGAGTCTCAGGTGGTACAGGGCATCATGCGACAAGGATGAACTGGTGTATCTGCTGCTTTAATGTAGCATTTTTAAGAAATCAAAGTGAATGCCCAAAAAAAGAATCCATGATGAAAAAAGTATCAAATATGTTAAAGGCAATAACAAAATCCACAGCTAAAGCTATAGGACATTTATGTTCCCATCAGTAGTGAAAGTCGTATATCTTCCTTATAATCAATGAGAGAGGGAAAGTGTGTAGG